AGGAGAAGCCCTGTCTTGATCAAACAGCTTTCGAGCTGTTATCTTAATGTCAGCGAGCTGTCAGAGGACATAGACGTTGGAATATCGCATGTCACAGCATTCAATAAGCTCTCTGGACAGCGACCAAAGTACATAAAGAGGAAATCTGATCATAGGTCACATATGAAATGTATCTCTACCTAGAAAAACTTTTGTGACATGCATAATGCACAAAAAGAGGAATGGCAATAGAGAGCAGGAGAGGTGAAGGATACAAAGAGGACGATGACAGGGTTGTAAAAGTGATCAGTGAGTTAGATAACAGGGTGAGTGATGGTCAACGTGAAAAAGAGGAGACACTGGTGGGAAGGGGGTGAGGAGGAGGCAGTGGAGAAAGTGGCCAGCACAGTGACGCCAGGTGGCAGAAGATCAGTGCTAGTCTCTCACCTCGGCAGGTCGTCTGCTGGCCACTCCAGCTCAGGCTTTCCTGACAAACCCTGCTCTCTGACCCCACAAGTTCATAACCAGGGTCACACAGAAAGTGAACCTCATGGCCTGTGCTGTGTGACTTGCCAAGTTTCCTGCCATTGATGGGTGTGTCTAGTTTTGGGCAGGTACCTGTTGGATAAGTAGAAAATGAGAAAAAAGGAGAATGGCACATATTTCAACATCTAATATTAGAATAAATCAGTCTTTCTGAGGGTTTTGCTTACTGTTGATGGCTCTTGTGCTCTGCTTCCCTGCACTGCTCTGCAACAGGTTTATTTTCTTCTTCAAGTTGCGAAGGCTCTGCATGTAAGAGGCTTCATGGGCTGAGAGAAGCCTCTGGACCTGCTTCAGAGAGCCCTGTATTTCCAGTCTACTAGGACAGTCCTGTAACAAAACAGAGAGGACGACTCATTTCATAAGAGTTGATTAATATTTCACTATAAACTTGTTCCAAGCTGCAATTTACTGACAAGATCACAACAATCTATGTTATGTTGAATGTATCTAATATGGATTTTCTTATTCTTTGCTGCAATGTTAAATGTTAAAAAGTGTAGCCACATAATTGTAATTAATAATTTTGACATGAGAAGATTGGGACACTGCAATAATGTTAGCCATATATGCATTTAAGAGTGTATTGCACTATACATAGTGCTACTATTTAGATCTTGAACGTGACCGATGTTGTGTTCAAACTTTTTATGAGATGCTACACCTTTTGGCTCAGGTAAGTTAAAAATAAGTCTTTGTCAACATGAAAAAAGAGACCACAGGACCACAAGACAGTGATGTCACTGATGTATTAGTCGGAGAACTAACTTTCTAGTCATTCACAAGATTCAAAATGGAGTTTTTTTTTACCACCAAAAAATCTTTATTCCTTTAATGGTGTCTGAGCCTGAAAATGTACTTTCCTACAAAGGGGTTTCTAAGGTAACCACATGAGTCTACATTCTACATCATTACATTGCATTTGTAGACTTCTGTCTATAATTGAAATTTCCTTTCCCAGAAACCAGACTACTTCACATTAATTACTCTGTAAATAATGTGTATGGGTTTTTTTGCACATACATGTGACCTCAAACATTTATGGAATATCTGAGGTGACTCTCCTAAAGTACATTAATCTTTTACTAAATTATAAGAGTAGGTGGTTTAATTAAAAGTACAGTATGAAATAAAATCAAGGTTGTTCCTAAAACCTGGAGTTGGAGGGAGCTCCACTGCATGTAAACAAATGAATGTCTACTGAAGGAGTGCACTTGAAGACCTGTGCAGCACAGAGACTGGGCTGTTGTGTGAGGAAGTAGTAGAATCAGAGTATGTTAGGCCACTGTAAGAATTGGCAAGTAGGAACCTCCTGGTCTCAAAGCTAAATCCTGTAACTCAGTCATAAACACAGAAACACTCTCTGAAAGTAACCGGTTTTTAGGTGTGACACTTAAACGCTTAAAATCTTCATTACGTAACATTATGTAACCATGGGTGGTGATGGCACTAATGGATAAGACGATGCCTTTGGTATGAGAGACCCGGGTTCAATCCCCCACTGTGACCCATCCACCCTTGTGTCCCTGAGCAAGACACTTATCTCCTAGTTGCTCCAGAGGCGTGTGACCTCTGGCATGTATAGCAATTGTAAGTCACTTTGGATAAAAGCGTCAGATAAATGTATACCATGTGTCACTATTGCTTTTACGTGGTGGATTTAGGGTCAGTCATGCGGGTATAAACGCCCTCAGCATAAACATCACCTGTGTTACAAACTCCCTTTTTATTGGCTGGAGGGGCAGGGAGTGGCACTGAGTTGTTTTTTATTCGTTCAACAGCGTCATTCTACACCTCCTCCCTGTCGTCTCATGCATGTTTTCAGACAACCAATTAGTGTTTGCGCCCAGCCAGAGTTATGTAAGAAGAGTAAATATTTGTTGAAAACACCTTTCTGATTTGGACAGAACTGGGGGTTGGAGAGACTTCAGTCAGTCGGGATGTGGGTGGAGGGTTGGGGAGGGGGGGTGGCTGGTTGGTGTTTATGGTGTAGCAGTCAATGGCCTCTTTCTGCCTGTGCTAAGCGACATTTCTCATGGCTTCATGTTAACTGGGTGACAGTGTGTAGGAGGCATGCATTACTGGACCTCAATATTACAGTACAGTACTATTAAATACAACCCAACCAGATTTGTTGTTACGTACACATTCTCGTGAACACATCTACAAGACCTAAACCATCACACTCACATTCTTATGGACATTTATAAACACACAAACATGCTGGCTATCTCTCAGTACCACACATGCAAAGACATAGACATGCATGCAGAGGCCTAGAGACTCATTCACAGACTGATGTAGCTTGTTGAGAACGTTCAGCAGGATTACAGTGAAGCGTAGCATAGATATATTGTGTGTATTCATTCAATGGAACCTCTGGGGTCTTGTTCTTGAAGCTAGCGTGGAAAGTGAAGGTGACTCAAAGTTTGCTCTGTGAGAAATAAGGACATTCACAGCAGGACCTCTTGGTAGTAATAGTATTAGTAGTAGTAAGAGATATTTGAGCAGTTTTTGCCTTTCAAGCCACGCCTGATAGTTATTACGAGGCATATTGTAATCAATTAATCAATTAAATAGATAGAAGGATGTAATTCATTAATCAGCATATTAGCATGTGACATCGTTCTCACTCACCTGTCCAAAAGTAGAATGGAGCGAGCAGAAACACAACAAAGTGATGGCAATTGCAGTTGACACAAGCATGTTTCCACTGATCCCAATCCAGTCGACGATCAGTCATCAGATGAGTTAAAAGTCGCAGGCAGTGGGAACTCTGAGTGTGTGCAGGGACTCCAGGTGAGAGAATGACCGCAGTTAGCAGTGGAAAAGCTGCTGCAGCGAACTGCTGTGGAATGTTGGGTTTACTCTATACGAGCCAATCAGGGAAAGAGACTTTAAAAATGTGACCACATTATTATCCCTGTACTTAATTAACAGTGCACTTCCTCTCTGGTAAAAGCAACTTAGTTTATGTCTTGTTTAAAAGAGAAGTGGAAGAAAGCTGAACTTTGCCAGAAAAGATTTTCTGGATCACGTACAGTACAATGATGATCATTCTGAAGGACACAGTAATGTAGCACTTCAGTGCTTTGCAAAATGCAAACAAAAAGATATTAACACAATACAAAGACACAGGATTAGAACCTATCACTAGTTTACAATGTATTCTGATGTTGTTGAATGCTTGTTTACAGCAGTGATATTTGTAAACACAAGAGTAAAGCGTTATATTTACATGAAAAAATACATCTATATAGTAGAAAGCTGCATTTGTTGCCACTGATGGACATTGATGGACTAATTTACATAGCTTCAGAGAAGTTGTGCCCTCTACAGGCATATATTCATACATGCAGTCCTGTCCTGTATGGTAGTTGCACTGAACAAAGAAACACATATTTTTTCAGGTACAGTACAAGCAAATGGCCATACCTGACAAGGCTATGGACTTTGAGACAGTGGGGTAGGGATGAAGACAACAGGTAGTAAATATTTTCCTTTATATATTATCACTGCAGTCTGATAATGATGGTGATTAACTAATCAAACAAACAATGGTAAAGACTCAGTATAACTATGCTGCTGTAGACAAAACATTTATTGTGTAGACTTTTGTCCTCTGTCTGTGCAGCCGACACCATGGCAGAGTATTGAGGAGGCTCGTGCTCCTAAGTACTGCTTTGAGTTCAAGCAGGAAGGAGTTCACGGTGGTTCCTTTGGTTGTTGGATTCACCTGAGAAATCATCCTAGCGGGTGGCCGTGTCTGACTCAGCCCAGAACAGACTGCATGCACAGCTGTCATTTGTCTCAGCAGAGTCAGACAGTCTCTAACTGATGCAACAAAATTGAAGAGATAAGAAATAACAGGGCAGCCTGGGGACCGAATCCTCAATGCAAAATGCATTCAGCCCAGTGGGGAGAGGAATGAGCATCTATTGTGTTGTGCTGGCTGGGGTCATGTCCAGACACTGAATCATCCCACAATGCGCAAATAATGATTCATGCTTCCCACACTGGGTCCATAAAAACCCATTGTCACCATGTCTACACAGATGCCCAGACAGCTCCATCCTGTACCTTTCCACACTCAGACCAATTGGTCATATTGTACCAATTGAAGTTCTTCCACCTGAGTGTTCTGCTACACTTTAATATCTCAAAAACATCAAAACAAACTTCCCCTCATTTAACAATGATGACCACTCAATACAAACATTTTGTCATTTGGATCAGGAAATGATGAGAGAGATGATTAAGCAATATATTTTATCCCCAATGACTGACACACCTGCTGTCAGCGGTAGAAAGTATTTACTTTTAAATGCACTCAAGTACAGTATGCTTTTGCTTTACTTGAGTATTTCCATTTTGTATTAGCCTACCACATCATTCTGTACTTTGTGTTATATTGCATTTATTTTACAGGATTGTCACACTTTTCAGATCATGATTTTACACACGAATCACATGATCAGCTTATAGTGTTGTTATCCAAAAGCCAAAACTCAACCAATTAAAAAGCTGAATGTTGAATGAATGAAATAGCACAATAATTCAATAGTGTAATATTTATAAAATGTTACTCTAAAACACACATACCTTTAGTTATGCAACATTTGCCTTTTACTTATAATGTGGCATATTTACAGGGTAGTATGGGCTAGTTTGTACATATTTTGTCTTTTTGCCTGGATTTTAACCTGAAATGTTCCTTTTTATTCTTTTAGAGGCAGAGGTCGATCTGAACTTTCTTTATCCTCCATCTGGATGATGAAGACCAATTGTTCCTTGTTCCTTGCGCATGTTTGCCATTACCTGCACTGAAAAACGTGCAAGAATAAACTGGGGAATTTACCCTGATTTTTTAACAGGTACGCAGCAGAAGGGAAAAGCGTTTTGCATAGATTAGCCTACTTTCCAAAACAGACTGATAAAAGGTACAGCCTAATGATGAAATGAAACAATAAAAAGATTACGACACTCTGTAACAGCCTACCGTCCCTGTAGGAATAGTGAATCTCTGAACAACAAAAGGGTGGAGGAGCGTCGTGTGTGTGTGAGGGGGGTGGGCAGGATAAGTGGCCGCTGTTGTTGGAGACACTTCAGGAGTTCACGATGTTGTTTGTAACAGCCTGCCGGTGTTTAGATCTGTTTGTTGTTTTGTCTATGCTGTTTCCGTTTATCCACGCGAACCGGATTATCACAGACAGACCGGACCACCAGAAGTCCACCACCACGACCGGTAAACACACTGAGCACGAGTTTAGTGTCCTCGAGGGAAACCTTTCTAAACGAGACCTTGAAGGCTAGTGGGCTTCATCAACCTGCGCACATTTTGACCGCAAAACAGAATTTAAACATTTAAAAAAAATCTAAATTAAGTTAGCCCATAGCAAGTCAGTTTAATAGATTACAGTTTTATAACTGGAGGGTTTTAGTCTGTCTTGTGTTTGCGATCAGGTGGCATTGCTTTAGGCTGTAGACTCAAGTGGGCTTTCTTAGCTAAGTCCATCTGGCAATGCACCAACAGCCCAACTTTTCTGCCTCACTGCCTGCTGTGCTACAGACGTTTGGCATCCTCTTGAGAAATTACCATTTTTATGGTACTTTCCCAAAACACGTGAAGAAATAATTAAATCCATTAGATGAGTCCATACTCTTTAACTTTTTGGTGAAATGTACTCAGATGTAGTTAAGTGACATTATGGAGTAAAATAAGTGAATTTGATGCTCAACTGATCAAAGTCATTATTACATTATTGTTTAACCTATTTATCAATAAACAGGATATACACTAATAATAAATGGTTTACAACACTTTATAATGTAGTTATAAGGAAATGTAAGGACATTTTAGTTGTGTATTAATCTTTAGACATGTTTTATATAACTACATTGGTATATTGTCATTCATTATCTATTTATACCTGTATGTTTATAGTGCTTATTAGTGCTAATATATGGGGTTCCGTTTTTACTCACCAGGGTATTATTAATGGGGGATATAGTGATATAAGCCTAAATCATCTTGAGTTTGTAATAGCATGTGTGTTTTAGGGATGCTTGCTCCCTTGGTACATGACAAAAATATTGTTTTGGGTTTCATGTGACCCTTCAGTTGTTGAATTGTGAGTGAAACAGTGACAGACTGTATGAACCCATCCATGCTCTAACCTTACACACACACACACACACACACACACACACTCAAACATCCCGCCAAACACATTTGCATTCCGTTGCTATAGCAACGGCAGTAGAGGTATAGTAGCCTAATTGAGTGTTTTCTGTTTTCTTCCAGGGCTCGGGGTGAAGGAGCACTCACAGATTGTTGCCCAGCACAATAGGCTGCGCAGCCGGGTCAAACCCATGGCAGCTAACATGCAAAAAATGGTTTGTGGCATCTATTGTCTGTTTCTTCTGTGTGTGCTTGAATGGTATGAACGCTCTCATCTAAATGTGAGTTTAAGGCAGTTTAACATTCAACTACGACAGGAACAGTAGCAGCATAGTCACACTCAAATTGCTTAACCAGGAAGGACACTTGAGATCATTTGCTTTGGTCCCTCTGGACTTTTACAGTTAAAAATATCACTAAACAAAAGCATGGATATAATATATTTTTTTTCATTGAGCTGTCTTCCTCTGAAGTGCTGATAGTCTCAACAGTGTGAAATAGTGGTGTGAGTGCACAATTCGTTCAGCTGCAGTGAGCTGAGTGATACTGAGGACAGTTCAAAATCAATAAGTTGTGTGTAGTCTTGAAATGACATCAATTTTTTTTACCAGAATAAGAATAAAACTAAGCAACATTTCTTAATACTAATAATCAAGACATAGAGTTAAAATACTGTACACAAAATGCCTATACAGTCACATACTGATAAAACAGTAAGATGGTCATGGTGGTGTTGCTGAATGTGCTGCAATTCTTAATATTAATTTTTAAATCAGGTTTTTCTTATCCCACTCTCTGCAAAACACTCCAGCTAAATCCTATTTTATCCTATTATATCTATTGCTATGGTGTACAGCGCTTATCTGCACAACTGTCTTGCCTGCATGTGATTATGACCAAGAAGTAACGATGGATTATGAGACTCACAATGTACTAGATATCCTCTGGGCCTAATATGAGATTTGTGCCAGGGCAAACTGTCACTTTGTCATAGATTACATCCTCAAAGCCACCCGCACAGACTGAGCCCCTTTCTTCGACTGCTCTTCAGCCTCCGAGAACTGTTCTCAACTGATAAGGCTGTAATGAGAAAAAGAGGATGTGGATAATCATTCTGCATTCACAACTCTGGTCTTACAGGTAATTTGCCTGAGAAAACCCTCAGAGGAAGATTTGCCGAGCTGAAGAGGCATATTAAAGAGCTTTACTGATAACGTTAAAAGGCTCAAAGCTTCAGCTGTGTTTGTGAATATCTGAATAAGGATTTTTTTTTCCACACAAGAACGAACCAGTAAGCATTGTGGTGAGATTGTGTTGAAGTGATTATAATATAGTCCTTTAGGCTTTGCTTTCAGGGTGAGAAAAAATACCAATATTTTAGAAATGAATGATGCTCCTCCCTTTCTTACCCAATGCCCTGTCTGTGGGATTTCTTTGCGCTCTTGAAGCTAAGAAGTATTATGAGGTCATACTGTCGCTCTCAAAGACATAAATTAAAGTTCAGTGTATACTTTTGACATGTAAACCTTGACCTCTGTTTGTAAGATTGCATCTCATTAAACTCATACATTTTAACACAGCTAGGGTGAAAAAAAACAGACATGCAGACCTTCACAGCAAAATTATTAATTATTAATTCAGCAGCAGTTGTTGGTGGTGCCACAAAGAAGGCAAAACATAGATGTTTCTTCGTGAGACATCAAAATCCCTCAGCTGATAGAACATGACATCCTTTAAAATGAAATCTCTTAAATGAAATATTGCCCAGTGACCTTGTACCCCTCTGGTGGCATCAAAGTGTGAGCCGGTGACTTCGGCTTGCCGACATCAGAGAGCAGAGTGAACAATGAACTCAAGGGAGCTCAGCTTTTCTACACCACACATCAGTGTCACACCTTTGATGTCTATCTTCCATACTCTGTCTAACCATAGAGAAAAGTTGTTGGACATTAGACAATAGATTATTTGGAGGTTCCACCTTTAATAGTGCACAGACTGTAAAATGTGAAATACAAACAGGATTCCCTGAATTTTTCTGGACTACAGGAAAGTCACTTAAGCTAAGACAACAGCTACAGACATTCAAGTGTTGCTTCTTTAACCGGAATGAGAGTCTGCTTTCTATTTAGGCAAAAAAGTAATCACATGAAAGTAATGTTTTACAAAGTAATGCACCCAACAAAAACCTCTGATAAAGTAATTTTTCACAACTTAAAAAGCCCCAATAAAGAGTGTCGTATTAGTATGTGCTGCCCAAGATAGTTTAAAACTGACCAGTCCTCCGAAGAGGTATAATAAATTGAAGATGTGGTAATTCAAAAACGATAATCATTCCGCTTCAGTTCACTCAACTTCACTCATTTGTTTCATTTCATTCATGCATTATATTTTTTCTATAACATCTCATGCGGAGCTTGAATCTGTAACTCCCCACATGTCATTGCCTTTCCTAATAGTGAAAGAACCTGAAGTGATGATTGTACTACAGCAAATATCGCAGAGTGACAGTGGAATGTTTACGTGAAAACCAGTTGTTCATTTAAAATCTTGGAAAACGTTCTGCTTAGTGAAGGTATTTATACCAGTGTGGCACACAATGAGTGTCGGTCTGTCCCTGCCATGCAACAGGCAGGGCGTCTCCCTCTGTGACTGGCTCTGACCCTTGAAAAGGATTAAGTGGGTACAAAAAAATCACTCATGTACTACTAGGAATGACCTTCATGCCAAAGAGTTTCTCTTTCATCCAGTTTTCATCAGTACCCACAAAGTACAATATGACCTTTATTTGAGGTTTAAGGTGGAGCTCCAAGTCCATCAGACCCCTTTAATATATTTTGATGATTAAATAAGTTGATGATGAATATTTCCTGTTGGTAATTATTGATATAATTGAAAATTAATTATTCAGTTTACTAAATAATATATTGTTCATTATTCATGTTAAATTAAAAGACTTTAGAATTCCTTCATATGTATCTCTGGGTTGTCTGTAAGATGTCTCGAAAGGTTTTGTGAGCTTCTGACAGACATGCAGCAGCTGACTGATGACCTGTGACAAGGTCGCCTGCCAACTCCATCCATCATCGTCAACCGCTTATCCTGCATACAGGGTTGCGGGGGGCTGGAGCCAATCCCAGCTGACATCGGGCGAAAGGCGGGGTACACCCTGGACAGGTCGCCAGTGAATCGCAGGGCTGCCTGCCAACTTCAAATATTAATAGTCAAATCTGACAGAACAGTACATAGTAAATATAATCTGAGGGTTTGTTATATATTTTGTCAACTGTGGGGGAAGAGTTGAAAAGCTTTATTGTTTTTTATATAGATCTGCTTTAAAATCATATAAAACAATTCAATCAAAAGACAGATACAGTCCTGTGAAGCTTCTTCTGACTGCAGTCACTGTGCTGGTTAGCAGTACACCTCCCCTGTGTGCAAGATAAAATAACATAACATAATAAAAATGTGTAATGATACTATTAAATGTTATTGTCTTTATAGGAGTGGAATGAGACGTTGGCCTTACTTGCAAAAGAGAGGGCAGCATCGTGTGAGAGAGACCCCTACCCTGAGCACTCCTCATCTTTCATTCACATTGGCTGGAACACACATCTTTCTGCTTATGGTGTCACCTCATTTTCTGATGTCATTCACTCTTGGTTTGAGGAAGGGAAAGATTTTCTCTACTTAAGTGGGCAATGTAGAGAGAATGCCACATGTCAACACTATACGCAGGTATTAACAAGCAGAACTGTACCTACATTTATGTGGAGTTGTACTTTTACACCTCATAGTAACTGTGTTTTTTTTTTAAATGTGCTGATGTGTCTCAACTGTCTGTTGTTGTGTAGTTGGTGTGGGCCACTTCCAGTCACGTTGGCTGTGCCAGCCAGCTGTGTCTGAGAGAGGGAGACCTCTGGGAGAGATTTGTCTGTGCATATTACCCTGGGTAACATTTACACTCATTTACGTTTTTTCTCATTGTGTGCCTCTTAGTATATGTGTTCTGCATTATATATTTGTGTTGCTGCAGGGGTAACTGGGAGGTGAATGGTTGGCTTGTGATGCCCTACAAGAAAGGGGTGTACTGCTCTCTCTGCACCTCTTCCATGTCTGGCTGCTTTAGACTGTGGGACCATGTAGGTGGATTATGTGGTAAGACAGTAAAAAAAATTAAATTAAAATAGATATATAGATAGATAGATAAATATAGATTAAACACAAAACCTTGAAACAGACACGCATGCATAGTATTTTAGACAGATTAAAATAAAATAAAAACTACTATTATCTACCATCAATGTCATATTTAGTGATTACTAGCATTGCAAATTAAGTCCAAATAACAAAGACATACACATGATTTAGTTCTGCTTATGAAATCTTTTGTTCACTGTTTCTACCAGCTGATTTTTATGCAGGTTTGTTATTCATCAAGTGTTTTGAGTGTTCCACACTATCCTGCTTATATCATTCGACTAGAAATTACAGTTCTTCTGCAATGATGTTGACAGCTGATTTGGGTATAAATGATCAAATGTGCAATTTCCAGATGTTCATTTTGGCAACGTGCACGTTTATTAGTGTTTTTTCTCTCAGAGATTCCAAGGAATCCGTGTCGTATGAGCTGTGGCCAGCACGGCCATCTTAACATCTCATCCTGCAAGTGCAAGTGTGACCCTGGCTTCACCGGACGCCTCTGTCAGGGTACCAGTTGTTAACATCAAGTGTAGTAGTATCAAGATAGTATACATATTGGTATCATAAAATTGGTCTGTTCTCTATATCTTAGTATTTTATTTATTTATTTTTTATTTATATTTTTATTATTTATTAGTATATTCAAAGTAGAGAGACATATTTCACAGTATTGTAAGTGTCTGTTTTTCAGTGCGGTGCAGGGTGCAGTGTGTACACGGTCGTTTCAAAGAAGAAGAATGCTCTTGCTTGTGTGATGTTGGCTATGGTGGTGCTGAGTGTGCTGGTAAGTGCAGTGTTCTTTAGTATATGTCTCTTTGTGTTTTCATACACCTCAGCAATTTGCACTCAGAGACACAGATTGGCTTAAAATTCAAAAGCATGCACATACTGAGAAAATTCATCTAGTTGCTGCTACACTATTTATCTTGAGGGATGCAGAGTCTGGTAACATGATGAAAAGGCGGTGAAAACATGGTGAAAGCACCAACCATGTTTACATGTTAAATCAAGACCATTAGTGGTTATGTAATGTACCGTATATATCAAGTAGAAGTGGCACAGTTCAATTACTCAGTGTGAATTGTCTCTATGTATTTCTGTGCATTCATGTTTTCTGGCTAAATAGGCAACACAATCATTTCAAGCTGATTTAGGTTTCTGCAAATTTTACATGTACATTTTCACATTTACAACCTATAGCGTTAAAATTTTACACTATTTCTAAGTTTGTTCTTTGAAGATGAGCCATTATGGATGGTCAGCATCATTATTGTTCTTTTCAATGTATTTTGGCGGCTTATGTTTCAACAGAGAAAGTGCAGTTTCCCTTCCACCGCTGTGATGTGATAATAGATGGTAACTGCTTCATGGTGTCTTCGGAAGCTGATACCTACTATGGAGCCAAGAGTCAATGTAAGGTGAGAGACAGGTGTGTGTGTTGCCTACTGAGAGAGTGAGATGAGTTCTACAGCAGTGGTTCTCCGACTTTTTCTGTCACGCCCCCCTAAATAGCCTTGCTTGCGTCAGACACATTCATGCAACTTTAGGTCTGCTCAACATCCATGCCCCCCCCCCCCCCCCTCCACCAGTTTGAGAATCACTACTGTACAGCTATAGCACATCATACAAATCAACATATAGAGGCTTTAATTCTGCTTTCAGTGTAGCCTTTTCTTTTGTTTAAATCACCAGGAACGAGGCGGCATTCTAGCTCACATCCACAATCAGAAGGTTCAGGACATCCTGGCATTTTATCTCAGTCAACTGGAGACAAATAACGAGGTCACCAACGTTGACTTTGAGACAAGAAACTTCTGGATTGGTACATTTATTTTGGTCATCCTAATAAATGTTAAAATGTCATAATGTTTTCCAACACCGGACAGCACCAGATTAGCTGGCAGACTGTGCTGTCATTTGGACCAGATGTACTGCCAGGTGGGGGTTGTGGAGATCAGCTTCATGGATAATACTGCAATGTTTTTTGCTCCACAGGTTTGACATATAAGCCTCTGAAAGATTCATTTCGCTGGGACACAGGAGAGATGCCCCGATTCAGCAGCTTTGCCTTTGGGCAACCTGACAACCAAGGGTAAGAGACACATTTACTTACAGACATTAACTACTGCAGAGTATATAATATAATAAACAGAGACAGCTGAGTACAATAGAGCTAAACAAACAGACAGACACATGAATAACAGATCACTTGAAAGGTAGAAAATTACTTTTTTGGTGGGCGCTTCAGGCTTTTTAAAAAATCTGCAGATGTGTATGCCTGTGGATCTACAATATGTATGACTGAAAGATTATACCAAGAGATTACTATAGTTCGGTCTTTCATTTGTTTTCATCTCTGAAATAAAATCCAGCTTTTAAATAGCATTTTAAATGACATTATTCACCAAGGTTATCTCAAATAAATGACATTTTATCTATGGACTAACCAGGAGAAGCCCAGGCGAAGTGAAGTTGGCTGACTTGCAACCTTCACCCTGACCACTAGATGTCTCTCTCTTTCTGTGTCTCCCTTTCTCCATTCCTCTGATCTGTTTGTCTGTCTATCTAAATAAAAACACCTATTACATCTTGAAGCAATAATTAGTTCTATAATAAACTATAAATTACTTATACATTCAGTAATTATTACTTTGAATCATGGAGTCATTTATAATACTGAAATACTATGATTTCTAAATCTGAGATTGAATTCTATTTGAACTGAAATATGTTCTTGTTTGCTTTGTGACTTACTGTAGTAAGAATTGCAGCGTCCTCTGCTTCATACAGCTTCATTAGAAATTCAAAAGAAAACTGGTCTGAAAAAGACCCATCAACTTTACAGTAAACCTTTCCAATCTGTAGCTGATAAAGCCTGAGATTACAGAGTCACTTACTCCTTCTCTTTCTCTGTCTAGTTTTGGAAACTGCGTGGAGCTGCAGGCATCAAGTGGCTTTAACTGGAATGACCAGCGCTGTAAAACACAGAACCGATACATTTGCTTGCATGGTAAGGCTCCTTCTGGGAAAGGGTGGACATAAGGATATAGGATTTCAGATGGTTAAGACTTGCCATTGTTGACATACTTCGGGCATCAATCTAGCTGACCGATATTATTGCTTTTTCTCTTGCCACTGAAAACTATACACATTTGGCGACAAGATTGGCTGAACTTCTTCAACTGCAGCAGCATGTCCACAGATGACATGCAAGGGACACTGGTTTGTCCATATTTCCCCCAAACTTGGCCTTGGCATGCTACTGTCTGTCCAGCTCCAGCTGTTTCAATGCAAAAAAACACCAGGCTCTGGACTTCATGGTGTCTCTGTAAAACTGTGTTGATAGAATCATTAGAAATTCAGGTTATGTGGGTTTGGCATCTTTTGACAAAAAAGTAGCCGACCTCCATTTTCTTTGCCTGAGTGTGTTTGGTGGTGCTGGTGGTGGTGACTGGCCATTCTGTGAAAGTGTCTCCCAGATGGTACAGGGAAAGGGTGCCTGCCACCAGTGCACAAGTGTTCTGGAAGGTGACTGACTTTTATGCGACCAGATTCACATCCATCCTTTTGTTATAGTAATGTCACTGCATCAAGTGTCAGACTTTTCCCTATTAAATGTGACTCCTGCGACTTTTTTACATTTATGTTAGACCATTTTGACTACCAAAAATACAGTCTTGATATACCATTCAATTCTCAAGATAATATACCTACAACTGCTAACAATTTTTTTATTTAACCCCCAGCATGACAATCCGACAAATGAATGCAATCTAATGTTCCCTCAAAATTTAGTTCTGGTTTGGTCCACCAAATCCTTATTTTTAAATAATACTGTTTGAGCATTTTTACATTTAGCTGACACTTTTGTCCAAATCAACTTACTATTGTTAAGTATGTCAGAGGTTGCCTGAGGTTAAGTGTCTTGCTCAGGGACATATTGGTGGATGAGTCACAGTGGGGAATTGAACCCAGGTCTCTCACACCAAAGGCATGTGTCTTATCCACACCTCCCCGTTTTTATTAGAGATACCAATAGGCTATAGAGAATACCAGGGATCTGATATGTGGGTGTTTACTGGAAATGGTTGAGTTTTTGTATGATTATGAGAGCAATGATATGCCATAAAGTAAATGTGAAGGCCAGAAAACTAATACATTGAACTAAAAGTGGCTCAAATCAGCGAGCTTAAATTACATTTACATTTAATCATTAAGCTGATGCTTTTATCCAAAGCGACTTACAATTGCTATATACACTTACCGGCCACTTTATTAGGTACACCTGTTAAATTGCTTGTTAACACAAATAGCTAATCAGCTAATCACATGGCAGCAACTCAATGCATTTAGGCATGTAGATGTGGTCAAGACAACTTGCTGAAGTTCAAACCGGCATCAGAATGGGGAAGAAAGGGGATGGTTGTTGGTGCTAGACGGGCTGGTCTGAGTATTGCAGAAACTGCTGATTTACTGGGATTTTCACGCACAACCATCTTTAGGGTTTACAGAGAATGGTCCAAAAAAAGAGAAAATATCCAGTGAGCGGCAGTTGTTTGGACAAAAACGCCTTGTTGGATTTCAGAGGAGAATAGGCAGACTGGTTCAAGATGACAGAAAGGCAACAGTAACTCAAATAACCACTCATTATAACCAAGGTATGCAGAATACCATCTCTGAACCCACAACACACATCGAATCTTGAAGCAGATGGCCTACAACAGCAGAAGACCACACCAGGTGCACATTACGCACGCCGTGATGTCAGTGCCACTGTTAAAGGGACAGTTACATATTTCCTCCAGCTCAAGATAGTAAACATCTGTACCACAGGAAGCTGGATTCCAACAACTGATTTCCGGAACCTTCACCTTGCATCAGTGTTTACAGCAACAGCACCAGCAGCTTACATTATACAACAGCCAGTCCCAATAGGGGCTCCCGGCACCGAGATGCCATCACCTCCAGTCATACACCTCTAGGAACCACAGCAGTGATTTCAGCAAACATCTCCAGCCGGGGCACCGAGATGCTAGTGCCCCCAGCCGCCCACCCTCAACCAACCACAGTAACAGACAGCAATTACACCAAGCAACCCCAGCAGCTGCCTGCAGTAGGGGTTTGGCACTGAGATGCCAGCCCCCCCCCCCGCCACACCCTACCACTAACCTCAGCAGAGGGCATCAGTAGGGACTTCGGGCACCGAGATGCCTAACATCGAGCTCTTAGTTGTTCCGATCTCAGTCGTTTTGAGCTAACATCGAGCTCTCAGTCGTTCCGATCTCGGTTGTTTCGAGCTAAAATCGAGCTCACAGTCGTTCGAGGTAAACATCCGGCTCTCAGCTGTTCGAGCTAACATCTGGTTCACGATCATTCGAGCTCTCAGTCGTTTCACGCTATCATCCAACTCTCAGTTGTTTCGCGCTTTTGCCCGGCTCTCAGTCGTTTCGCACTATCGTCCGGCTCTCAGTTGCTTCGCGCTATCGTCCAGCTCTGACGTCTCGAGCTCACAGTTGGCTCTAATTGACATTCAGTTAACAGCCATTTCGAGCTCAGTCATTTTGAGCCTAAAGCATTTTCTAGGTAAGGCGTTCCGAGTTGTCTTTACCTAAATCGGTATAATCATTTCAAGCAAACAGTAGTCGTCTTCAAGGTAAGTTGTTTTCGAGAAAACATCGAGCTAACAGTTGCCTCAAGCGAAAGCTAACACTCCTTCAACCCAACCGTTAAACCAAAATAGTTTTGAGCCAACAGTCGTTTCAGCTAACATCTGGCTTACAGTCGTTTCTAGCTAACATTAGGGCTAACAGTTGTTTCGACCCAACATCTGGTGTACGGCCACTTCGAGCTAACATCCGGCTCACAGTCATTTCGAGCTAACAGTCGTTTCAAGAGAACATCGAGCTAACAGTCGTTTACAGCGAACAGTCATTTTAAACCAAGTTACCTTTAGTTAAAGTCACTACGAGCTCAGCTGCTTCGATCCTACTTCAAGTCAGTCGTTTCGTGTTAAAGTAGTTTTGCATTACAGCTTTTGCATTAAAGTTGCTTCAAGCTATCGGCCGCTTGAGCTCCCAGTCACTTCGACCTCTCAGTCACTTCAAGCTCATATCAGTTGTCTTTTACCAAAGTCACTCACGTCGCATTAAGCCGTTTCGCGCTAAAGTCGCTTCATGCTAAAGTCTCTTTGAACGCTCAGTTGCTTCGAGCTCACGTCGAGCATAGTCATTTCGAGCGAACATCAAACTAACAGCTTTTCGAGCTATCACCGAGCCAACAGTCATTTCATTCAATCCAAAATCATTCGAGCGAACAGTCTTTCAAGCTAATAAGTGTTTCAAACTAAGCATTCGAGCTAAGTCATTTAGAGCTAAAGCCGTTTCGAGCTTATTGTTAATTGTCTCGAATGAGCAGTCTCTTCAACTAACAGAGCCTGCGGGCCAGTCTCCAATGACCCTGAACCCTTGCAAGACCCTTGTGAACCATTGCAAATCTGGGATCCCAGAGTACAACACGCCAGATCGTCTCCGAGTTGGTTCCAATGACCTCTCGATTCCCAGTGCCACCGCCACTCCCGCCAAGCACTCTCTAGTCATGCTTTTCTCCCATCCATTACCCCGGTCACTCCTTCAGTATCAGAGCTACCCTTTCCGCCTCCGACGTCATTCTCAAGCATCTGATAATGTCATGCGCTGCTGATCCTCCCAAACGTACCATCGTCACACTCATTCAGACCTCAGATCAGCCAATGCTCTCACGTAAACAGAAGCTTTTGGGGGTCCGTCGTGCCCGGGTACTACGGCGGATTTCCCTATTTTAGGCCTCTTAGTACCAACTGACCATCGTTTAAACACGATAGCCTACCTGAGTATTGTTGCTGACCATGTCCATCCCTTTATGATCACAGTGTACCCATCTTCTGATGGCTACTTCCAGCAGGATAACGCACCATGTCACAAAGCTCAGATCATCTCAAAATGGTTTCTTGAACATGCCAGTGAGTTCTCTGTACTCCACTGGCCTCCACAGTCACCAGATCTCAATCCATCGGAGCACCTTTGGGATGTTGTGGAATGGGAGATTCGCATCATGGATTTGCAGCCTACAAATCTGCAGCAACTGCATGATGCTCTCATGTCAATATGGACCAAAGTCTCTGAGGAATGTTTCCAACACTTTGTTGAAATATGCCCCAAAGAATTAAGTCAGTTCTAAAGGCAAAAGGTGGTCCAACCTGGTACTAGCAAGGTCTACCTCATAAAGTAGCCAGTGAGTGTATGTCAGAGGTTGCACGCCTCTGGAGCAACTAAGAGTCTTGCTCAGGGACGCATTGATGGATGTGTCACAGTGGGTCTCTCACACCAAAGACATGTGTCTTAGCCACTGCACCATTGCCACCCCACAGACTCTTTGTTTTATGTAAAAAATAGTATTATCGCAGCTCTGTCACTGATAATCCAGCAGGGTAGTAGTAAATAAAGGCCAGCTTTGCGCGCTCCCTTCAAAAGGGAGGGGCGGATGGGGGGCGCAAAACAGTCCCTTAGCAGCCCTATGAAATTCTTGTTACAGTTACATATATACAACTATATAAATTAAACTATAGTGTATCAGTGTATTATAATCCTTATGTGCTTCAAAAACATTAAGGAGCCTATGAAATTCATGATATTATCTATATACAAATAAATTAATTCAAGTATAGCGTATTATAGTCCTTAAGCCTGATAGACTTTAAAGCAGATAGTACAGAGAGTCTTGCTTTCTTGGAGATGAGTTGTTATTTGTGTGAGTTGAAGTGTTTTCTGGGGTGGACATATGTTGTTTTCTGGGGTTTATCTTTTCACATCGCCTGCATTTGGGGCCACAGCTGTGAGATCACATGTCTAGTTCTACAAAACACCTTAAACATTATTGGTTGCTCAAAAGGGTCAGGAAGTTTCATGTGCCCAGCACTGTTTCTTGAGATTTTTTATTTAACAACGCCATAGAGGTTGCAATTCTCTCACAACA